AAAATAAACGAGAAGATAATTCGCCTTTGTCACCGACCCGTCTCTCCACGTAACTAACCACAATATTTATTTTTACATATCCCATGGAACTATGTATGCTGAAGTTCTTTCGCACTTCACGTAGCCAACCGTGTTAATCGGAGGTGCGGGGGAAGGACCACAAACTAAACATAAAAATATCGGTTGCAAAGAAATGAGTTTTCAATCTAGATTATTTAAAAGTGCACAGCTTCGGTGGCTTTCTAATATAGGAAGGAAGAGCGTACCAGACGGCCGCAGAAGTGCATCTGAAAGCGGGCAATGCCAGGTGGCTCAATGGTAGAGCGAGCAGTTCGTAATCGGAAGGAAGTTCAGTTCCTGGTTGGGGGGCGGACACAGCCCATCATCAGGAGTTGATAAAAAAAAAACATATGACTTCATGGATAGACTCGCCACTGTCCAAGAGCTGTAAACAGCAGAGGAGCACCACCTCAATGCTCACTTGAGCAGAAACTCACTTTGATTTGGGAGCACCAGCAACATCATCAGCATCATTATCATCAGAAGCAGCATCATCAGAAGAAGCATGCGAGGGGCACCATCTAGCAGGGACGCTGGGGTGGCGAGGTGTTAACTATCACGCCTCTTATACAGGTCGTGGGTTCAATCCTGATGACTGGATATGTGGAGTGTGCATGTTCTCTCTCCCCCCATTGCAGCGTGGATTTTTCTCCGGGTCCTCCGGTTTTTCCCTTCATATATTTGGAATCAACATCACGTGTTTAAGAGTATTTGGTTGCTGCTATAAGTTTCCACACGACAATAAGCCACTTCGTTTGGCTATAACGTGAGGCCAGGTCGCTTCTAAAAACGAGCTGTGTAAGCTCAGTGGAGCCTTACCTGGTCAAATAAAAAAATAATTGCGTCAGTCTAATAGCCCATGCTGGAGACTTGCCCCGGGGGGAGGCGGCGGAGCTGGTGCGGGGTGGTGAGGGGGGGGCTGGGGAGGGGGGGGTTTCCGAGAAGGAAACGTATTCGCTTGGATTCCGGGCCGCTCGTGACGCACGCGAGATGTCAGCGGTGGCGACGTTTTCAAAAGGGAACTCGGCGGCGAGCAGAGTTACTAGCGAGGGAGGTGGGGCTGTGGAACAGGGGGTGGAGCGTGGCGCCTGTCTCCAGGGCGGTGGTGCAAGCCAAGCTCTGAACATTCCACATTCACATGATGGGGAACACGTGTGCCCTTAGAACGACAGCGACTGCCGACTTCGCACCGTGCGGGGAAGCCTTGGCAGGCTGTGCTCCTTCTGTGATGACGATGATGACGATGGATGATGACGACGATGGATGATGATGATGACAACAATGGGTCTGCGATTCCACTCGTTCTTTCGGTTATACCCCCACCCGCCCCAACCTCTTCCCTATCCTCAACCCTGCCATGGTTATAAAAGGAACCCGATCATTCTAAAAAGCCCCCGTTTAGGGGAAATAAATACCCAGAAGGCGCAATTCCAATATTTTTAAACCACGCGTGTACGCTTGTGTGCCCTCATGTTCGCGGTTTCGGGTTCGATAAAAACAATATTAAAAAAACACAGGAACAATGGGTCTGCGTTGACTATACGCAGGAGGCTTTAAATTGTCACGTCTCTTGATCGGGAGCTCGCTCTATTGCTCAACCACATGTTCTATAGACCAGGACCGGGGCGGTGGTGGGGGGGGCGGCAGTGGTGGTGGGCAGGGGGCGCACGTATAGAGGAAATTCAACGTAGGAGGCAGGGGAGGAGAAGCAGAGGCGGCTGGGCTGATGCGGCCGTGTCGGTAGGAAGTCGATAGGGAAGAGAGCCTTTAAAAAAAACCCGCTCACTCGATGGGGCCATGCCGAGAAATCGTCATTACGGGTAACCGTCCCGGTTGGCACCACGCAGCCTTGGCAGAACCTCGGAAACTTTTACTCACTGAGGGGGGGGGGGATGGGGGGAGTGGTGCAAGTGAGTGACGCGCGCGGCGACGCGGAATCCGAAATCCTAACCGCCGTGACGCAAGCGAAGGAGCTGCACGTTGTTCTGCCCAGCGAGAGAGGGGGGAAAAAAAGAGTCCAGGGCTTTTTTTTTTACGTGTTATGCTTTGTTCCTGTTGCGTGTTTGTGTGGTGGTTTTTATGTATTTAAAAGCCTGCCCAGTACATCTTGGTTTAATTTTTTTTCGACGTCAAAATGATATATATGTATTTTTTTTACCAGGTAAGGCCCACTGAGCTATGTCCCTCTTTTTCAGAAGCGACCTGGCTATCACAAATGATAGCTTAAGGAAGTCGCTTATTGCGTGGAAATGTATAGCAGCCAAACACTCTAAACACGTGACATTGATTGTAGATGTGGAGGGGAAAAACCGGAGGACCCGGAGAAAAATCCACGCGACCACGGGGAGAGAGAGAGAGAGACACCGCAAACTGCAAATATACAGCAGGCATCATGGTCGGGATCGAACCCACGGCCTCCTTCATACCAGGCAAGGTAGTTATAACATCTCGCCAAAGCGGGGCCCTGATACATGCGGCAAGCCGGTAAGCACTTTATTTATCAGAGTTTGAAATGTGCGGTTACCGAAAAGGCTAAAAATGTACAAATTAACCACCCCATCAGAGCATGTTTGTTTGCATGTTCACCACAAGTACTGTGTGTGGTTAATGCAGTACTTGATTCCTTGCAAAAGCTTTCTATTTGGTGTTTGAACATCTTAACACACCTGTATTATTGCCAGAAAGGGTAAACCCTATTCTTAATTTTTCATATGGGCAAAAAATGTCCCATTTTGTTAACCGCCTCAGTTAACAGCAAAACTATCAAAAGTTGCTGCTAAGTGCCATCCTGTGTAGCCACGTGGCGGCGTGCTATCTTTCTGAACACAGGCCCATTCCCTATTCGGTGACTATGGCTCTCTCTCAGGGACTGTGGTGGGCCTCACTTGTCACCCCCGTGTACCGGCGGAGTCGTCGTCATCATCGCGATGCAGCAGTCAAGACACGTCGTGGAAAACGTCGCGGAAACGTGGCAGAAACGTCACGAAAACGTCACAAAAACGTGGCAAAAACGTCACGAAAACGTCACGAAAACGTCTAGAAATGTAACAATCGGCACAACGGAGCAGATCCCGCAGCACTGACACACGCGGCAAGCCCACAGTCCACACGCGGTCGCACCGACGAGCGGTTTTACACTCTGGCAACAGCCTCAGGCTGCCCCCAGCCTGGCACAAGCTGCCGTGACTTCACCACCGGTCAGCGCAAAATGCAGGTGGCTGTGAGGTGCAGGAGTGTGTGTGTTTGGTGCAGTTGGAGCACACCGTGATACACACCTGCAGACCCAAGTTCAATTCCCGCTCACGAACGATTATACGAACCGGTCATGGGCATCCTCGAGGTCGACTCAGCCACAAATAAGTACCTGGTGTGATTTGTAAACATCGCCACTAGGGTGACAAAGGTGGCTGGGCATGATGCTGGCCACTCACCTCCTCGTGTTCGGTGTTCGGACTTCATAGGTGCTCGTTAACATGCACTTTCCCGAAAAGTCTGTTAAGGCTGAAGGGGGAGATCTGTGTCGTTGTCTGCACATCCATGCCTGCGCATGAAAACGCATGTGTGTGTAAGCAGCTTCTGTTCGGCTGGATAGAGGGTGGCTAAACGGGTGCGGCACGGGCTAGAGAAGAGATGGAATTGATGTGGTACAAAAGGGTGTGGAGGTGAGTAACATCGCCGATGACTGGCACGAGCGTTGTCAAGATCGGCCTCTGTGGGGGGAGGAGGCTCGTTGGAGGATACTACTGGAGGCAGTCGCGATGCTCGCAATAACGCAAGCGGAGCGACGGGCAGCTAAAACATATCGAGGTGTTACAGTAGGGAGTACAGGTGAAGCATCTGTCCGTCATCTCAGTCGATCACCCCATAACACCTGGGTCTCTTCCGTGACCTTCCTGAAAGCCTTAGACACTTCGTGTGGCCTCAAAGCGCACATAGCCTGGCACAAGCGCTTTGGTGACATCACTGCCACTTAATGGCGAACGGCGGCAGTTGTTCTGTGCGTGTGCATTTCTTCTCTTCTGCACTGGTCACAACTCTTCCCCTAAGTTCAGGCCCAAGACCTTCTTCCTCTCTGCAGCCTCTGACCAAGTCTCTCCCTCTCTCCAAAGTGCCTTCTTTCTCCAACTGCCATCCCGCCTTGACCCACAATAACCCAGACAGACATTTTTCCCCGTGCTCCACCCCTCTAATTGAACCGCACTGTGTGGCGTGTGCGTGCGTCTGCACGTGTACCCACATACGTGTCTGTACGTGTACCCACGTACGTGTCTGCACATGTGCGCGTACACTGCGGGAAGCAGCGGCGCAGTGATTGGCGCGCCGCGCTACGAACCCGGCGACCTGAGTTCGATCCCCGGTCGCGCACCTCCAATTAGCACGGTTGGCTACGTACGGTGCGAAAGAAATTCAACATGCACAAAATACCGGTGAGGATTATCTGAACAGGTTCTGGGCCTCCCCTAGGTCGACTCAGCCTCAAATGAGCACCTGGTGTGGTGAGTAAACATCGCCACTGGGGAGACAAAGGCGGCCGGGCGTGGCACTCACCACCCACCCCCTCATGTACCGTACAAGCCTTCATAGGTGCTTGCTACCAGCACCTTCTCATACAGTCTGTCAAGGCTATAGGGGGGATAATTTGTCTTCTCGGTGTACGTATACGCGCGTGTGCATGCGTGTGTGCGTGTGTGCGTGTGTGCGTGTGTGTGTGCGTGTGTGCGTACACGCGCGAGCGAGCGCTGCTCTCCATGCCGAGCCTGACCTGGCGCGTTGTAGGAGCTCATGGTCCGAGTGTGCCCGGCGAATCGGGCCGGAGTCGGGGCGAGTCGGCGCGCGTGCGGTGAGTCTCTTGCCCCGGGGCGCGCGACGCCCCGGCAAACCACAACTGCCAAGTCCTCACGATCCTCCGCGGTTCTTTGGGATGCCTCGATCTTTTTCGCGAACCTTCACAGTTCTTCACAATCCTCGACAAACCTTCACAATCCTTCACGAGCCTCCACTATCCTCCACGATCCACCACGAACCTTCTCCACGATCCACCACGAACCTTCTTGATCCTCCACAATGTTCTGCGATTCGTCACAATCTTTCAGTCCTCCACGGCCCTTCCTGATCCTCTCAGCACCGGGGGGGGTATTCCTGTAACGGCACACGCCTCGCGCTCTTAACAGAGTACTCGCTGCGCGGGAGAGATCACCCGTTCACCAAAAGCCGCAGATTACAAACAAGTGCTACACCCCTTTGTCAATCCAGTCCTGGATGAAGGCGTCCCTTACACCATACTTCACCACGCTGGTCAATGCAGGTTGATGAAGGGGGGCTCTGGACCGGTTCAGATATCGCTCTCTAACAACGTCATTAGTGACCAGCAAACCAAACTCACTTCGCCGGGTTCATCGTGCACCACCGCTACCCCCCCCCCCCCCATCTGGAACGCTCTTCTTTCCAATATTAGGAAACCATTGGAGCTATGCACTTATAAATAATCTAGATTAAAAAACTCACTATGTAGACCTGCTTTTTGCGTTTAGTTTGTTATCATTCCCCCGCACCTCTGATTAGCAAGGTGGGCTAAGTAGCGTGCGAAAGATTTCCAACGTATATACATACATAAGCACGGCAGTGACATGGCCGAGCGGTAGTGTGTTTGCCTCTTGCTGCAGAGGTTCACGGTTCGATTCCATTGGCCACCCTGGTTAATATTGTGGGTTGTAATAACTGTAACACTACTGCGACTACTACGTGCCGTCTGTTTCACAGTGGAGATTAAAGATCCCGTGACGTCATTCTCAAGAGCAGGCCAATGCGTATGACGGCACCGCGATCCAAATATTGCCAAATAAAAACAAAAGTACCGGCAGATTGCTCAATTGGAATGATACGCAGAGATCACCGCTCACTCCCGCGAAAAAAAAAAAACACAGAACCTTCGTGAAAGTAGTCTAGACGCGAGACTCGGTGACGCTTTCCTGGACAAATGAGCGGGAATAATAAAATTGGCACAGCTCAACTCAGACACGCCACCCCATGTGTCATCGCCTGCAGACTGAGCGATGGCGACTTCAACCGTATTACCGAGGGGTTAGAGGAACACAACTTTTTTTTTTACAATACGGCCCCTGACGTAGCTTAAACGAAGGTCAACTAACTTCATTATTATTCATTATCCAAGTTATGGCGTGCCAATTTACAACATCTAATTAACAAGATTGAATGTCAATTGTCAAATTTTGTGACACGCACACGTGCAATTAGGATTGGTGCATTTTTTTGCGCTTTCGGGATCAACGTCACACACCTTCCCTTGCTAAAACGTTACAGCTAACAGAAATTAAGTCTGCATCGTTTTACTCAACCGGGTTAAGGATCCCGTGAGATTCGTTACCTCTAATCCGTGAGCGCGACATCTGGGTCATTATAACCGTTCAAACAAAACAACCAAACCGCCCCTCCACCCCCCGATCATTTTTGTGCTACAATCCAGTTTTCGAGGCGTTTAACACAATTTGGGATTGCGAGTCGCGACCGGCAAGACATTGACCGGGCGAGGAGGGGGGGGGGGGTTGAGCAGCGTTTAACGACGCTGCGGATGAACGCAGGGCGGTTATAAAGGGGCGTTCCGGAAGGCCCCTGCGTAGGGAGCTTCGGGTAAACGTCTTGCGGTAAATGACCGAGCGGAAATTCAACCGAGGACGCACAACAGAGAGAGAGATAGAGAGAGAATTGGCCGCGTGGTGATGGCCGGCCATGTGACTACAAGCACTGCCAGCACCAGGTACACGATCGCCTTCAAGATTCTGAACGCAGGTCTCCGAACACCGGGTCCCAAAAGGCCCCACCACAATTTTCGTAAAGCGGGCCAGCAAGAAACAGCACTGGTATCAAAGTTGGAATAGATTTAGAAGCGTGGCGACACGTTTCTTGAATCGGTATTTGGGGGTTAGATGGCGTAAATATGAATGTGTCGTAAATCCAGCACCACCACCCGACACAGCCAATGACGAAGGTTTGTCACGTGAACAAAACGTGCCACTTTGTTACTACCTCAGCACACTGGCTCTGTGTTGGACAGTAAACCCACAAGATTTACAATTGGAGTACTGTGACATTGCGCTGGCGATTACAACAACCGGTCTTGAGCAGGCGATTTGCCAAAATTGCGAAGAAGTCTTCCTGCTTCCGGTCTTAAATAGAGTCAGGTGATGTCATCACTGTGTCGGGTGGCGGTGGGTTAACGACACAGTTTACATTTACGCGATCTAAGCCAATAAACTTTCGGATGAATAATATTGGCCGCGAAAGCCGACATGTTAAATTGATCTACTGCTCTAAATATAAACCTACCGGGGTTGCCATGATCTGGTAACACAAGGACGTGCCGCAATATGTACGGTCGTATATCTTTAACACCAAGGCTTTTGCGACAAATATTATGGCTCACAATGGCGTTGTGTGGGTCAGATCGCACACGTTTGTTCATCACGTGACAACTTTGTGAAATGGCTGTGTCGGGTGGAGAAGGGTGTGTGTGCGACACGCATTTTATATACACGATCATGGCTACGTACGGTGCTAAACAAGTCCAACGTACATATGTGTGTAGTGACATAAATGGAGTCACTTTGGTGTTTAGCGCCAGCTACTGTCACAAGAGTGGAACTGTGCGTCTTGAGCCTCTCTCTGGCACCAGAGTAGGTATGGCATGCAAGCGGACCCTAGGGGGCAGGGTTCTAGTGGCGGTCTGAGAGAGGGCAAGTAAGGACGTGACAGTCTGAGTGAACCCGAGAGGGCATGTGACCGGGACAGGGTAGCGTGGGGCCCAAAAGGGGGCTCGAGGGACACGTGATGCTTGGTCGAGAACCTTCTGGAAAGAGCCAGAAGGGGGCGTGGCCGAAGGCGGAGCGAGGACACGCTCGGGAGCATAAAAGGGATGTCCCAAGAGCGATCGCGGGTGTCTTCTGGAATCAACCCGCCGGGCTACGTCTCGTCGATCTTCGTTCCTTAGTCGTCACGTTCGGCATCGTGGGTCAGGCAGGACGTTCCTGGCCTGACCCAGTTATGTAGTTACCCTGTTGGGGTCTAGTTAACTATCGTTGTGCGTTACGTAGTTACCCTGTTCGGGTTGTGGAATGAACGTGTTGCCTCCACGTTAAAGTGTGTGTCTCCGTTAAATATACTACACGTGCATGCTGTATGTACTTTGAACTTTTTGTCGCACCGTACATAGCCAACCACGCATGACCATTGTATCGTCCGTTTTGCGAAGTAATTTCAAGTCGTGATTTATCGTGGCCGCCTTTCTGTCTCCAAGATTTAGACTTCCCGTCTTTGCCTACGAAAAAACAACCATAATGATTAAAGTAAAAAAGAAATTAAACGCCAATAACCCATATAAGTATTAGTGTAAATTCACAAATAGGTTTGGCGGGATCACTCCATGGCCTAACCCAAAAATCTATTGCGAAAAATGCTTTGCAAAACATTTCGCGGCACAAATCACAACATATAGCGATGATGCCATCATAATTTTGTGACAGTGTGTGCGTTACAAGCGCCACAGACGGTAACGTTACATCGATCAGAATAACTTTGAAGCCACCCTCTATTCATCCTTGACTCACATCCGAGAAAAATACCAGATTATATAAACCATGTAAAATTACAAGGTAATGGGAAACTGATATCGCAATAACTGTCATATCGTAACATATCTATGGGAGCCTTTTTACCAGTATCAAAATGATGAAAGCATAAGAATAGGTGTAACACCGTGCTATTAACGCTTTGATGTTTGCATTGCCTTTGTACAGTTCGCCTTTTGGAATTATCTGGTCTGACACTGGTGGTGAGACAAGGCCATAAAGAAGGCCGTCTCTGGTGTAGGCCAATCAGTTTCAAAGACAATGCAGATAATATCAGAGCATGTTTGTTTGCATGTTTTGCCACAAGTATGAGTTGGTTAATGCAGACTTGATGCATTGGAAGAGGGGTGTCTATTTGGTGTTTGAACATTTTAACACCTCCTATGTTATTGCCAGATAGGTTAAAGCCTAGGTCTTTGCATTGTAACATTTTATATCCGCTTTGTATCAAAACGGATGCTATTGTGGTGCAACGATAGGCAGCACGCTTTTAACCAAGAAGGTGGCCGGTGCAACCCCGCCGGCGACACAGTCGAAGCAATGGTGCGCAACGCGGGCGTCTTAAATCCCCCACAGCAACAACGTCTCCATCCATCCCAGTAGCATCATAGGCTACACCAAAGTTTGTCGACCGGCAGATCGAGTGTGGTGGGGCAAAGTGTGGGTACAGTACTCTCAACACAGTTAATAAGATGGCCAGCATGGAAGAATAGGCGAAAACATACCCCCCCCCAAGAGGGGCTTCGATTGAGTTCCCTCTCGTCCAGGCCCTACTGCCAGCAGTCGTGCGGGGGGCAGGCAATTGCAGGGCTGTATATCGAGCCCTATTTTAACATTCACTTCCATTGTGCAACTTGAGATGCGTTCCTGCGGAAAACATTTTTCCCCCACATATGTAATAATAACATCACGCTTAAGAATGGAGCAAATCTTTTTTTACTCACTTATCTAATAGAAAATGGATAATTTTATGACAAGATTCAAATAATACTCGAAACGAGTCGCGAAAATAAAATACCGTACGGTAGTTGGCTTTACGGGTAAATTTGAGCATTTCTGACGTCACTTTGCACTTAATTGGGCCCCTTTTCAGATATCCCGACTCACTTTCCCACTGTTGTCAGAACGTCGGGAACCCTGCGCAGTGCCGTCCGTGCCAGGCGCGGGTCGGCCCCCAAAGGGGGAGCCGAAGCGAAACGAGCGCCGTGCTTTTGGGAGGGGGGCGACGGCAGCGCGGAGAAGAGAGCGCGGGAAACCCGGCACCACAGTGTCAACAGCGCGGCACGCAGACCACACTCCGGAGCACGCGCAGTGGGGAGGGGGACAATCTACACGCGCCCACCGTGCATCGCGCAAGGATCGCGAGGGCTTTGAACACAACGCGGGGAACCATCGGTTTAGAACTGGGGGAAGCGTTGAGTTGCAATATAACGGGGGGGGGGGGGGGTGGGTGACTGTTTACTTGCGTGTTGGACTAAGTTACGTTGAGAGAGACGG